AAATTAATGAATTATGTCTTTGTCTATAGTCTTTTAACATTTTGAATGTGCTAACTGTCCCTAATAATGACCCTGACATAAGTAGAAGTGTTAACATAAAACATAATTTACAAAGTTGCTAAATGATTAGTTTAATAAATCAAACGGTTAGTGGGAAGTAGCAAGACCACATGGAAATTCATGATATACAGTCTTTTTCTCACTTGTCTTTCTGCCTATATCTGCAGCAGATTCAGAGCCTGAGATTTAGGGCTATACTGAGTTCTTTTGGAAAAGTATATACATCCCATTAGAAAAATTTATTGGGCCTGCCATTATGTCTGCTTCAATTTTGTTTCTGTATTTCTTCATATAGTATATTTTTTGCTTTGTTAATAAGTGTCCTATTTTCAACTCACTTTTATATATCTAATTCTACTTTTCTAAATAAATGCACTGGAATTTTATTCAACTATCCCTGGAAGTGATTTTAAAATTGAATTTGTTTTTGATACAGTTTTAGGTAGTCACTTTCCTTGTTTCTTACAAACAGTGGTGCTACTGACATATTATTTCTTCACTTCTCTAATAGATAGACATCCTAAGGACAATGCATAGTAACAGTGCATTTTTTTTCTAAAATATTTTTTTCTAACTTCCTGTCAAAAGGAACAGTATAGATAAAAGGAAAAAGATTCTTTTCAGGTGCACTTAAATGTGAAAAATGAATTTATACCAACTTAAGAAAACTTATCAAAGGGAATTTTTTTTAACCAAATTATGAAGATCACAAATAGGTTAAGTGTAATTAGCTTTGTTTAATGTCTGATAATCTGGTGTAGTTTCACAGCCTTGTCTAGAGAAGCAGGAGGCTATCAGACACAATCCCCTTTAGTTTATTCTGTCATTGTAAGTTACTTTAAAATTTGCGAAGAAGTAATGACCTTTAATTTAAGGAATATTATATATTTTTGTAGAAAAAATAGTATTTTAAGAGATTCCTGTTACTCAGTTGCTAAATTTGCCCGAATAACTCAGGGCAAGGTATAGCGAATATTCATATGTGCTGTGGATTTAATTTTTTGAGGGGCGGGGCGTTTCTTTATAATTTCTTCATGATAACAAGCTTTCTAAAATGGTCTCTGGAGGTTTCTAAAACATTTCTAACAAAGCCACAGCCCATGGGTAACACCATTGCCTGTCAGAAACCACACTAGCCATGGATGACCAATTTCTTAACTCGATACACCTTTTTGCTTAGTTTATTTGGAACTTTTCCAAGCCTACACACCCTGATTGATCTCTAATTCAGGAACAGCAAACTTTCTCTGTAAAGATCCAGATAGTAAATATTTTAGGCTTTGTGGGTTATATATGATCTCTGTTACATCATATTCTTATTTTTCTTCTTTTACAACACTTTAAACATGTTTAAAAATCATTCTTAGCTCACAAGCCATACAAAAGCAGGACATAATCCTAATGGATTAGGCTCCAATTCGGTCATTGGAAGCAGACATGCAACCCCAAGGTAAGGAGGAAATTATTATGGGCACTTGCTAAGTAGAAGCCAGCAACAACTCCTTGGCTAAAGATTAGCAAGTGAAAAATATTAACTCTACCTCTTGCTAATTTACTTTTTATTTTCCATGCTAGCTAAGTTCTTTTTTAGAAAGATAAAGAGAAGGAAAGAAAGACTTAGGAAGGAAGGGAAGGAGGATGAGGCAAAGGGAGATAAGCAAGAGAGAAAAAGAGAGTAAAAGAGGGAAAGACAGAAAGAAAGAGTGAGAAAGAAAGCAGAGAGTGAAAAACAGAGGGAGAGCCAGAATATGGAAGCTAGGGCACAGTCTCTTCTTTTCCTGAGAGCCAGGCAGATCTTGGAGGCACCTCCCCAGCTGCTTTCAAACACTGAGATTGCTGCCCAGCCACTGATCACCATCCCAAGAAGTGAAATGTGGGCTTCACATCTGAAAACTTCCACTTGGTTTTTCACCAAGTGAAATGGAACATGAAATTCAGGGCCCAAGCAAATCGCTCATGTTTTCTTTGGGACATTTCGGCTGTGTCTACTCAGGGAAAATTTTGAGGTACTAACTGACTGATTCCAGTGCATTTGATTAATGTATATATAGGGCAAACCAGGATAATTCAGACCTTTTTTCTTCCACAGGAGGTTTGCAGCCGGAATAATCTGGATGGTTGCCTCAACTCTCCACTAGGCTTTGCCAGTATAAGCACAGCAAGAGTAGTATGCAGGAGACAGGGACCACTCCCTCTCTCCAAGGTTTCCTTCAACACCCACACCCTGTGCAGCTGAGCATAGTGGGATCTGTCCTCACAGGCATTCATTCTTGGAGCAAAAGCAATTTCTGTTTAATGAGTCTCAAAAGCCTCCCCAACCCCCACCCCCCGGAAAAAAACCTATATGTTGCATTATCCTTAGCTGTCAAATGTAAAAATATAATAGACAGGTGAAGGAATAACCGTATTAATGGGGGGGAAATTATACCATGTTCAATTCCCCATTTGAGAAAGAGGATAGCGAAGCCAAAGTTAATGATTTACCAATAAAATTAATTACTATATGTGTGAATATTTGCTCTAATTACTGTGAAAACCTGGGTTGTATTTTTTTCTTTAAGTGATGGATATATGTATATAATCTTTTGTTTTTAAAAGTATACTGGTAGTTAAAAAGTAAATTAAACTACACCTCAACATATAGAAACAGTGCTTTCCTTGGAGGCAAGGAGATGTGATTCAGAGAGGTAGAGTTTATGTTACAGAGGTTTGTACAGACAATTTTAAAAAATTAAATGAAAAACTGCAATTAATGATGGAAGAACACTATTCAGAATAACTCCTTGGTAAATTATTTTTAAAGGAGTCTCCTATAAAATTAACCATTAACTCATAATTTACCTGGTAAAACTGTATTTTCATGGACTCCTGCACTTATACCATAATTCTGGGTTTGGTTTTGTGTTTTTTTGTTGTTGTTTGGAGGAAAGGTGAAAAGAATAATGGGAAAGATGCATGATAGTTTATTTTACTGTATCTTACAGATCCAACTTCTAATGATGAAGCTTCCCACATAACTTCTTTCTTTTTGGGAGCAGAAAGAAAGGAATAAAATGAAGAGTCAGAGATGTTGATGCATTGGGATAATATTTTTTCCACTTTAGTGAAACTTTCTACCTTGCCTTCCTTTCTGTTTCACCAGTTCTCTAAATGATAATTACCGAGGGACAACTTTCCTGTTGCTACTTGAGTACTGTTTTTTGTTTTGTTCTTTTGTTTTGTTTTTACTATTTGCAGATTTTAATGCTGATTTCTCCCTGAATACACAATCTCTAAAATAAAATGCTTAAATAAAATGCTTATAATTATTAAGAGGTTCTTTTCCCACTTAGTAGTTGCTTTATCCTCTCAGATACAGTCATTGTAACTACCTCATAAGAAAGTGCTAAAATGTATTAAGTAAAAAACCAAAAGAGCAGTAACAATTAATTGAAAATGGGCAATTCTATGTGTATCTCTTTAAAAGTTCCTTGTTTATCTGTAGGGTGTGTAAAAAGTTTGCTCATTTTCACTTGTGAAAGTGTTTTTGCTGCCAAGTGGTGGAAATAAACACTGGGAAAGAGAGATCATCTGCAAAGTATGCATCTGTAAAATAAGTTTCTCTTTTCAAATGGCTTATACTGGGCTGTGTGGTGGTCCCACACTATGCATTGGACATGACTCTTTGAAAGCAGCCTGTAACCTTGGACAGATTTACAGTGACAAATGTTGCTATGCTTCTATAAGCACTGTTTCTGCTAGAGGACACTGCACATTAGACAAGACCTTGTGCTCTGCTTAGTAAAGACAGCTCTCTGTTGTAGCACCTGTGTCCAAGTCTCCATTTGTTAACACATGTGTGTGTTTCCCCTTTTGGCGGATAAGACTTTGAGGGGGATGCTTGCAAAAAGATTATTCCATGGTATAAATTTCAAGTTGAGTGTTTTTCTACCTTGGAAAGTCCATAACATATTCACATCACTCTCAGAATTGCTCCACAAAGGGCACTAAAACTTTCTTCTTAGTTGACTCTTCCTTGGTTCCTGCTCATTCCACACCACCCCCGACTTTCAACTCCAACACTCTCTCTCCCTCTGAAAAAAGAGCAGCTGGCTCAAAATTCATGGGCACATACATACCACTTCCCTATCTCTGGATTTTAAGGGCAAAACGGAGAACCTAAAGTTGCAAGTAACAGAAAGTATTCTGAGAAACAAGCTATGATTTCTGAAGATTTTCCACCATTTCTGTTACAGTATGTTTGAAGTAGTTCATATACATAGGCCCCCCCTTACTTGTTTTGTAGTTGAAAAATAGGGGATAAAGCAAACAAAACCCATAAATACAAGTGACTCTTCAGTCATTAAAAAGTTCCATTTTTGCTTTCATCAACTGATTGATTGCTTGTTTACTTAGAGTATAAGCCTGGAAGCCTGCTTTAAATTAATTTATCAACTAAATAAAAATAACTGAAATATGCCTAAGCTCTGAAGAAGTCAGATTTAATATTCACCAACAAAACACCGTAAGTAATGAAGGGCAAAAAATGAGTATTTTAAACATTTTTTTTAATTGAGAGAAGGGAGAGAGAGAAACATTGATGTGAGAGAGAAACATTGATCAGTTGCCTCTCATACATGTCCCAACCAGGGATCAAACCCACAACCTGGGTATGTGCCCTGACTGGGAATGAAACCTGCCACCTTTCGGTGTACAGAGAAATGCTGAAATGGAACAACACTGACCAGGGCTAAGCAGGTGTTTGTTTTTGTTTGTTTGTTTGTTTGTTTTTCATTTTTCTTTTTAAGAAAATGGGCTTTCTAAATGTGCAATACAACAAAAGAAAAAATGATGTGCGTTAGTGAAAGACTGGATCTTTACTATTCTAAAGTGCAAACCTAATGCTTTAAAAACTGGAAATGTCTTTTTTTTTACTCTTTCTCTCTTTCTGTGATTTTTAGCATACATTGAAGATCTCACAAGATGTGTTGAGCAAAGCAGAAGACTTATTATCGTGCTAACATCAAACTATATTCTCAAACGAGGATGGAGTATTTTTGAATTGGAAAGCAGACTCCATAACATGCTAGCCAGTGGGGAAATCAAAGTGATCTTGATTGAGTGTACAGAATTAAAAGGGAAGGTGAATTGCCAGGAAGTGGAATCACTAAAGCACAGCATCAAACTTCTGTCACTAATCAAGTGGAAGGGACCCAAAAGCAGCAAATTAACTTCTAAGTTTTGGAAGCACTTAGTATATGAAATGCCCATCAGGAAAAAGGAAGTACTTTCTCGATGCCAGATTCTGGACTCTGCAGAACAAGGACTTTTTGGAGAGCTCCAACCTATACCCTCTATTGCCATGACCAGTACCTCAGCCTCTCTGGTATCATCTCAAGCTGATCTCCCTGAATTCCACCATTCAGATTCGATGCAAATGAGGCACTGTTGCAGAAGTTATAAACACGAGATGCCAACCACCACCTTGTCTGTACCTTCCTTAAGCAACCACCACACTTACTGTAACCTGCCTCTGAAGCTACTCAATGGACAACTACCACTTAATAATCCCCTGAAAGATACCCAGGAATTTCATAGAAACAGTTCCATGCTACCTCTATCACCCAAAGAGCTTAGCTTCACCAGTGATATTTGGTAGTGAAGAATCTGACATACCGAGAAAAGCCATGGAAAATTTATGCTATAACAAGCATAAAGTACACCTAACATTGAGGTGCTGAAAAAGTGTTGGAAGAAAAAGGCACAGAAATTGCTTTTGTACTTCAATTTTTGTATGCATTCCCAGAATACTGGGGGAAGAAAGACCTGCTTTTGTAGTATAGTACCTTGTTCCAATTTACAGTTTTAATTTCTCCTGGAAAATGTTACTCCTATTGTTTTAGAGTAGGTTTTATGATACCACTTGAACTGCAAGCTTAGTAGATGAGCTACCTTTGACATATTTATGAATATTTCACTATCTATGTGGTATTTGAAACAGGGAAAATTTAAAGACTTTTACTGAATTTGAAAATTCTGAACTACCTTTAAGATGAAAGAAGAACTATTATAGATTAGCTGAAAATCAGTAATTATCAAGAAAGAAGTGTTGAGGCACTCAAATTGGAAGACTACTTGCAGAGGAAGATCAGTTAATGAAAAATGTGATCGAAGCAATTAGAACTTCTTCAATTTAATGGACAATTTCTGTAGACTAAATCAATAGATCATAAAGATAGTTGTGACATAGCTTTATTAGGCAAGCACATATTCCGTAGGCAAACTGGTAGGTAAACAACATGCATTTCTTAAGCAACTGAATAGACAGGTTGTCAGCTCTTTTAGAATGATTTTGAACAACCTTATGACTTTCTAGCGCCTATTTTAAAAGTTTTAAAAAATTGAAACACATTTTAAAGTGTGTATTTTATTGTTTGCTAACAAATTCACATTTTGATTCCCCCCAAATAATCCATCAACCTTCTATAAACTTTATAAGAAGATGTGAGTATCTTCCTACTTTTATCAGTGTCATTGGTGTTTGAATTTAAATAAATACTGACTGCACATATCAGCAATACAGAAGAAGTAAAACAACAATAACCACAGATGAAGTGCTAAATAATTCAAGTTTACTGGTGGTAGAGCAGCAATTGCAGTGATTCTTATCTAAAATGTAGTTGTGAAATACACTATTCTGTACATATACAATATCTGCTTGGTGATATGTGTAAGGTTCCTGTAGAATTATCTCTATTCCTGGTGCTTCAAAGAATATATCTTGTAGATAAACTTCTCCACCCTCACATTGTGACTGTGACTGTACTCCACCAGAAAATCCCTGTGAATAATCTAAAATATTATGAATTCTCTGTAAGGAATGTTCCCCTATTTTCATATTTGTTGTGGATTACTACTTTATATTCTTTTCAATTAATCCATTTTGGTGTGTTCTCCACCAAGATGCCCATGAGGGTCAATTGTTAACCAAGGTTGATTCTGGCATTTTGGAAATATTTCTTAAATCATGTTTTGAAAAAAAATATAAGCAAGGACAAATGTACACAGTGTGCAAAAATTAATTTGCCCACCCATGTAACTAAAACTCAAATGTATAAGAGAACATTAGATAATGTTTTGATTATTTTTTCAATCTCTTTATATTATCGACTCCTGTGGTCCATGGGTTCAAAGTACTTGCTTCTCTGTTGCTTTACTATATCAAGCTGTTAAAGAAATACATTATGCACCAAGAGTATGTGAACACTTAGCAGTGGTACATGTTCATTTCACAGTGAGACAATTAGTTGTTCCTTTGAAAAGTCCTATTCAAAACATACAGGTGTTTCACACTGAGAAAGGTGATTTTGCTTCTGTAAAAACTATAGGTTTTTCAAAATGGAAATTTATTAGTACTTAACTGTTTCCCAAGCGTTATCAAGTTGTATTTGCTCTCATTGTTATTTAATGATATGTGTAATTACTAAGTTAATAACTTGCATGGAATGAGTACTGTATGTTTAAGTGACCAATTGTACTTTTTATTATTTTGTTTTACACAGAAGTCTAGATAAATTCAAATAGAATGTTAAGTAGTATTTTTAAACTAATAGTTCTGTATTGAGCATGCCAGTTCTGAAAATATAACATGGGTCTCTCTGCTTCCTTTATTTACAATGATTAAACGTGGGTAGCAATTTGAGTTGGCTGGCCACAATGTGTCCTTTCACAACTAGTATGTACTAAAAAACAGAGCATTCACACTTGTGCTGGTGAACTTGACAAGAAACCTTTTCTATCATTTTGAGAAACCAGTGTATACACTATCTATAAAATTTTATTTCTAGATAGTAATTCAAAATTTGATTTTCATCTGAGACTTTTAAAATATATAGCCCATAATGGTGTAATAAGTATTTCGTATAGAATATGATGTACTCTATCAGTTTCTTTCACAGTGAGAAAATTTTTCTTCTCAATTTTTCATTGAAATAGATTGTGAAAATTTAGAAAAATGCTGGCACAACTAGTTCCCATACATTCATAACAAATTGATTTAGCTCATCCACCAACAGGTATTTCGTATAGAATATGATGTACTCTATCAGTTTCTTTCACAGTGAGAAAATTTTTCTTCTCAATTTTTCATTGAAATAGATTGTGAAAATTTAGAAAAATGCTGGCACAACTAGTTCCCATACATTCATAACAAATTGATTTAGCTCATCCACCAACAGCATACATAGTTTAAACTTTAGGCTATTTTAAGGTAAAGTTTTCTAAAAAATATCTGAAATTATGAGACAAATGAGAAAATCACAACTCAATGCTCAGGGAGATGGGCAACATGTAAATGGTTTTAATTTGCCAAATACAAAATCTGGCAGGTTTGGTAATCTATGGGACTCCAATCTAAATATTGAGACTCAAAGGTAGCTGAGTAGTTCTTAAATCGAAGTAAGAAGGCATCTCTCCTCACCCACTCTAAGCCATAATTCAATTAGTTCCAAAGCTGTTTAGCTTTCAATCACTTTAACTTAACAAATGGGTACAAAGGCACTTAAGGAATCTCATAAAGCTTGAATCTAGGGTAGTATCATGTGAAAAGACAATACTTTGTTTGAGGATTGGTGGATAGCACTGTGGGGATTAAAATCAGGAACCAGGCTGCAATGAGAAGATAAACAGTTAAGTTGTGAAAGAGAAGTTTATGGAAGAGTTTCAAAAGGACATGCAAATAAGTAGTATCCTATAAATTAATTCTGTAACAAGTTGGAAAATGGCAGGAGTGAGAAAGAATGAAATTCTTCCAAGAGAAGGAAAGAAACTCACTGGCACACTTGATAACTAAAAGCCTTACAAGAGCATAGAACTACTAGTTTCAAGCATTTACTGCCCTTTGGCACTTTTAAATAAATTGGTTGGTGTTTCCTAAAAATCAAGTAATGACCAAGGAGAATATCATGAAAATTGTGCATATAAATCTTTACATTCCTATATTCATTTCCCAAGGTGTGGTAGTGAATTGATAAAACCAAAGTGATGTTAAGACAGAAAATAGTTCCTTAGTGACCAGTAAAGTTTGAAAACTTGTAATTTTTGTTGCTGTTTTCTGAGAGAGAATTTAATGTTGAAAATAGTTTGGCTCAAATTTCTCTATTACTCATGCATTTTTGTTCTAAGATGTTTGATAGGAGGTCTCAGTGTTGGACATTAATGCTATCTGATGAATGTATGGGGTTGCTTGGTAAACAATAATAATTTGCTTCAAATACTTTCACTTCAAAGTTATCTTTTTGAGAACTGAAATCAGTAATAGGCAATTTAAGAAGGTTATTCAATACTCTATATAATTCCTGTGAGATCAGAACCTATATCCATCTAAACTTGTCTTCTCAAGTGATCACTATTGTTTGATCAAACACATTTTCTCCAGATGGTACTAATGGCAATCATGAATATTTATTGAGTAGCACTGTATAATGTCCACTACATAAAGTATAATATAATTATTTTTAAATTGAAGTCCCTGTTTTTGAATAGTTTACACATCATATGCATTAATAAAGCATTATTTGAAAACCACATTCTAGCATAGGAAAATTAATATTACATACGCAGAGTAGATAAGGGAGGTGGGATTATTCACTCTTGAACAAGACATAAGTTTGGAATTGAGGGACCAGTGGTGAAGTATGGTGCTTTCCCAATTGCAGAGAATAGCACATGTGAAGACTGATGAGAAACTAAGCAAGTCCTATTATCTGAAAACTAGAGGCCTGGTGCACAAAATTTGTGCATGGAGGGTGTGTGTCCCTCAGCCAGCCTGTAACCTCTCCAATCTGGGATCCCTCGAGGGATGTCCCTCTCATAATCTGGGACTGCTGGCTCCCAACTGCTTGCCTGCCTGCCTGCCCAATTGCCCTTAACCACTTCTGCCTGCCAGCCTGATCATCCCCTAACCACTCCCATGCCAGCCTGATCAACGCCTAACTGCTCCCCTGCTGGCCTGATTTCCCCTAACTGCCCTCCCCTGTGGGCCTGGTCACCCCCAACTGCCCTCCCCTGCAGGCCTTGTCACCCCTAACTGCCCTCCCCTGCTGGCCTGATCACCCACAACTGCCCTCCCCTGCAGGCCTGGCCACCCCCAACTGCCCTCCCCTGCCGGCCATCTTGTGGCAGCCATCTTGTGTCCACATGGGGGTGGCCATCTTGTATGTTGGAGTGATGGTCAATTTGCATATTACCTCTTTATTATATAAGATAAGCATATTTGGATACCAAGAGGAGAAAGCTGTGTGAGGGTATAATAAAGTATGACTGGGAGAGATGCTGGAACATTCATCTCATAGCAGATGAAGGAAGAATTAGGTAGGGGGGAGAGTATAGTGACAGGTAAAATATTTGAGAGGCTACTTCACAATACATGTACTAGTTGATAAGAGATGGAGGGTGGTGACCTGGATACTCTCAGGAACAAGGCAAATCTGAGGAGGAAGAGAAAAATACAGGATGTGTTGATGTGAAAAGTGGAAAATGACTTAACAAAGGATGTGAAAGACCTATATTCTGAAAATTACAAAACATTATTAAAAGAGATTGAAAAATACATAACAATGGAAAAAATATCCCATGTTCTTGGTTTGGAAGAATAAGCAT